TCAGGAGAAGCCAGCCAACCCCCAAGGGGTTAAAAACAATCGTTACGATTTCATAAAAGTCGACGGTAAACCCTCGGCAGCCAGGTTGGGAATCAAAACCGATCCCGGATCCCAATAACCAAGGCGGGGAAAGCCCCCCCAAAAAAGCAGGCCGAGCTCAAAAACCCGGGGGGGGTGTAAAATGGTGGCAACCCCAGTTGGGGGGGCCGCACATATTGTTGGGTCCCCCCCCGGCCCACTTAAACCCATGGGCGGCCCCCCCCCCCCCCCCAGCAGGACGGGGGCTTAGAAGTGCAGGGGGGGTACCGAGCAATGTGCGGCCGCTCCTGCTCCCTCTGAGGACTGAGCCGTCTGTGAACAGACAGCCGAACTTGTACTTGTACTTGACGGCTAAGGCCGAAATCGTTATTGTTCACACAATCGTTATTGTTCACACCTCTTGCAGGTGTGAACACACAAAGGATTTGCTGTATCTACTCAGCTGCTCCAGCATCTTACCTGTGAAGCGTGAACAGCGTCTTGGGTCCGGGGTTGTGTTTTGGTGTGAAATCAATTGAGTTGTCACTCCTGCATTGCATTGAAGAGGGGTTCAACTATCAAAACAGGAATCGAGGGTGTCAGCTAGTCAGCTTGCATGCTGCCATCTGTCCCGATCGTGACCAACCAAAGCCCCCCTCTTCGTAGACCCCGTTCTGAGGGGTCCTGAATCGTACACCGCTCCCAGCCGTGCTCGCCGAGCATCAGCCGCCGCCGCCGCCGACGTGCCGACAACTCCTGAGAAGGCAGGCGTCAAATGTCGAAAAAAAATAGATATTCTTATCTTTTTGCCCCCCTCCGAGACTAGGGACAGAACCACACCAGTATAGACCAGAGGGACTGCGCCTCGCCCCCGCTTGCCCTGACTGCACAGGATAGCGTGCCCCGATAACGGCGACACTTAGCGAGGGTCACTGCGCAAGGAGGGGGTGCGAAGCCTTTTTCGGTCCTCTCGGGGGAATGTTCTCTCGGCGCCCATGGCCTTCTGAGGTTTCGTACTAATGACGTCCTTCTTGGCACTTCGCTCTTCGGGCGTCGATGTGTGCGTATCTGTGGTGTCTAGTTCCTCCGGTATCCTAAATAGGTTTCCCGAGCTGAGACCTCCTTTCAACCCCAGCGTATCTTGCTGAAAGCCTTCCGCTGGCGGGAGGTCCCCAGTTCGAAACCTGGTCGACCCTTACATCTTTTGTTCACACCTGAGCGGGCTCAATTTGCTCAGATGCCTCCTACGTGTTCGAACTCGTGTCCTCACGCTTAGCGCTTGGTGTGTGTTCGTTTTTCGTCACGGGAGGGCGTCAAATGTCGAGGACGGAGAGCATTGCTAAAAATCGCACCAAGCTCTGTCGAGCGGGAGCTCGGTCAGGGGTGGTAAAGAGATGAGGAGCTTCCATAGGTCGCTTCTTTTCTTATAGTTAGAGGCTGCGCAGGCCGTCCCGTTTGCTGTTTGAAACGCCTGTTGCGCTGGCCGCTGCGCGCGCGCGCTGGCCGCTGCCGGGGCTCTGTCTCACTCTCACGTGCCGCAATATGTGTCACACACGGCGGCTTCTGCCACCTCTCGATTGGTTCTACTTTCTACGCACACCTACCGGGGAAGGGGCGCTTGGGAGCGGGGGCGGGGGCGGGGGCGGGGTCGGGGGCGCGCAGCGCGGCGGCGCGGCGCGCGCAACAGAGGGTAGGGTGGGGAAGACGGCGAGGAGGGGGCGGCGGCGGCGGCGGCGGCGGCGGCGCGCGCGCGGCGCGCGCGACGGGGGGGCGGAGCAGCGACCGCTGGCGCGGTCGCTGCTCCGTCTGTGCCAGGGACGCGCGCTCTGCGCCGCTGCAGAGCGCGCGCGTCAGGGCAAGGGGCATGCGTGGCGGCGCGGGACGCGCGGCGGCGGCGGCGAGCAGCCGAGTGCTCCGTGAGCGGTGAGGCGGCCGGGCGAGGGCGCGGCGGGTGACGGGTCAAGGGAGCAGCCCACACCCGGCGTCGCTTTTTGAGCGACGCCTGTGGTACGCCTGCGCAGGGGCCGCAGGGCGGTCAGTTGTGGGGCGAGGCGGTGCCGGCCGCGGGCCGGGTGCAAGGCGCCGGCCTCGGCGCCGCCTCGGCGCGCCGCACGGGCGCGGCGAGCCTCTGAGCGGGAGCCGAAGGTTTGCCGTGGTGGGAGGTGGTAGGGCGGTGGGGGTGGTGGGGGTGAGTTGACTTTGCCGCAGAGGCCGTCCCTAGCTGTGAACAGCAAAACGGGACAGTATCAATCTATCTGTGAACAGCGGCCCGGGCCATGGTGGTGGCTGTCGCACACCTCTTCCGCCACGGGCAACGCTCGCCGTACCCGCCGCCGCTGAGCGAGTCCGCCGCCGGGCCGAGCATATGGACGTCGCGGCTGAGCCCGCCTGCTGAGTCGTGGAACTTGACGGCGTCTGCCTTTGACGCGCAGCATCTGACACCGCATGGCGCAGCGCTGCTCCGACACCTGGGCCAATATTTGGCGGTCGACTATCGCTACCCCGACCCGTGCGCGGCAGACGTGACGCTGATAGCCGACGGCACCTCCTTCCGGGACGTCCAGTCAGCTAGGGCCTTTGCCGGTGGCTTCTTTGGCCGCCGCTCGTGCTCGGCCGCGCGGGCCGCCGCAATCGTGGAGGCGACGGCAGCAGCGCAGCCGCTGCTGCTTCCCCTCGTCTCGGACGACGTCGAGGCCGGCTGCGCCGGGCCTAGCGAGGCCGACGTGCTCCGGTCCTTTGGGGGCGACGTAGGTATGCACAGCACCTGCCAGCATTTCCAGCCTCGCCGCGCAGCGCGCCGCCCCTGTCGACTTACTTCGTTGTGGCTGAGTAGACGCGCTGGCGGCGGCGTACAAGCCTCAGATCGACCGCGTCGGATCATTGCTCGGCTGCTGCTCCGCTGAGGTGGGCAGACCACACAGCCTCTCTCTCTCTCACACACACACACACACACACACACACACACACACACACACACACACACACACACACACACACACACACACGAAGATCTCGCCGTGTACCCTGCCTCCAACCTGAGCATCGGTTGTAGGTGTGCGATCGGCACGGGCTGGGACGGCGCAACTGCTCGCTCTCCGACCTCCCCCACACCTTCCATCCGGGCCGCTACTACTCCTACTTCGACGGCGAGGCCTTCCGTCCGAGCGACTGCTGAACGGTGCACCTTTGGGCAGAGCGCGAGAGGCGTGCGAACAGGCGCCCTCTCCATCGCCGGGTACTACGCCGACGCGTGGATGCTGCAGGCGGATAACATAGACAGAGAGGCGAACGCGCATGAATGCAGCCCGTCAGGCCACCACTCTTTCAGAGGCCGTATCTCAGCGCGGTGTGAGGGCAGGCAAACCAGAGAAGCCACCCCACTACTCTAGCAAACACACACATACAGGTCCGCACGGGCAACGCGGCTGCCGCCGCCTGACCTGTCGTCACACATCCTGTGCTGCCGACATAGGCGGTCTCTGGCGTGGAGCCGTTTGCGTGGGGCGAGCTGACGCTGTCCGAGCTCTCGGAGCTGTACCGCGTGCACCAGCGGGTCATGTGGCTCGGCGCGTCTCTCAACGCGTCTCGCGGCGCCGCGCGCCGCCTCGCACACGCTCTCTGCTCTTCTGATAGCTGATGCTCACGTCCCCTCGTCGTGTGTTTACATCAGGCCGCGCCTCGCACGCTGTCGCCTCTCTCCTCGCCTCATTTGAGCAGGTGTGTGGTGTTGGGGGGCAGGACGACGCACCTGGCGGGAGGTGAGTGAGTCGTACGGTCGTTACGGTACTTAGGTTGTGCGTGGGGAGCCGCAGGCGGGGGCCGCTGCGCCGCAGTGGCGTGCCCCCGCGGGAATCGTGGCTGGCAGCCCCGTGGCGTCCACAGACTGCAAGACCACAAATTGCGACCGGCCGGGAGAACGGCCGAGCGACGAAATGCCGCTCACGCTCGCCCTCTTCGCCCACGACTTCAATCTCCTCTTTTGGAGGCAGCTGCTGCGACTGCACTGGGTGGTTGACTCGTGGCAACTCGACGCGGCATCCACCGGCTCGCAGCCTCTCCTCGGAGCTGGGAGAGAGCTTCCTTCATGATGAACCACTTGATTGCGCACCGTTGACATTACAGGCTCCTTCCTCTCCTTTGAGCTGAGGTACGATGCGCCCACCTCCGTCGCCCCCGACCCCGACGGCGGGTGGCGTGTCGTCGGCTTCTTCACGGCGGCGACGGTGCTGCAGCAGCGCCGGAGGACCCCGCTCGTGCCACCTCATCCGCCGCCGGGGCGAGCGACGGCGACCGACCCCCCTGCTTGACACATGGATGCATTCTTCACTTGCTCTCACCTGCCACCGAGTACATTGTGACACACTCTTCAGGTGCTCGACGTGCCCTACTCACAGTTCCGCGACCTCGTGCTCGCTGCCGTTGACCCGCGCTGCGTCCTGCAGCCGCTGCGCGACACAACCGCGCGCTTGCGGGACCGCGCGCCGCCGCCGTCCTCCCCGCTCGACAGCACCCCCGCCGTACTCGCGGCAGCCGTCGTCGGTTTCGCTTGCTCTCTGTGCGGCGTCCTCATGGTTCGAGTTAGCCGTCCTTACCTCCAGATGCCTTGACGCTTGATTTGACAAAGTGCGGGGCCGCCGGGAGGGGCGCAGCGTTCGTAGCTCAACACACAACAGTGCAGGTTGGCGCTGCTGAGGACTCTTTACTTAGCAGGGCACGTACGGCTTTAGAGTAGTGAAACTGAAACATGAGGAGGTTGTGCTCTTTAATCTTGGAGCAGAGCACACCTTGGTGGGCCGGAGGCCGGGGCGGGAGTCACCGGGAGAGTCACCAGTCCCCAGTCGCCAGTGGCCAGTCGAGTGCGATCCGCTTAAACGGTAATATTATACCCCATCTCCCCCGAAAGTTATTTAGTACGACCCCGTACTGCGGCCCAGCACGTGCTCCGCAGCTGAGCCCACGCACCCCACAGTAGCTTAGGGACACAATAAGCTCGCATACTGTGCCGCTGCCGTACGGAAGTGTGAACAGGTTGGAGCAGCAGCTCCTGAGCACGGCGCCGCAGGCGCCTGTTGATAGGTCCAGGTGATAGTCCTGGATGGGCAATACATACGCCTCACTGGGCCTTAGATCGCCCGACCGCGTCCCGGTGCTCTGTGGTCGGATTTGTGACGCCGCCGCACCGCGCCGCGGCCGGGGGCCCTCCGGAGGCCGAGGATGGCCGTGGCGGACCAGGACGAGCTCTGGGAGGTTCAGTGTCAGTGTATATATTGTGGAGACTAACCATGCCCACAATATCTCTCAGTCTAGCTAAGCCAGAGAAGGCGATGCCGGGGATGTACAGCAGCTTGATGGGGCTTCGCCGGCATGCGTCCCCGGTGGACCCCATCCGAGGCGATTGCGAGGGCATTCCGGAGGTCATCATCGGCGCCAACGACCGTGATATGTCCCGTCTCGCAGCTCTCGTGCACCAGGGTCATGAGTGCAGTCATAATATGCAGGCCTTCTCTCCCACAGTTTTGAGCAATAGCCGCAAACATCGCTTTTTGGGGCACGCTCGTGTCGTGCCATCGTGACAAGGTCACCCGCGGACTCTTCAGCCTCTCAGCTCGCCAGCTCGCCTTCTCTGTCGCTCTCCTGGCCCAGGCCCATCAGGATCAAGCCTGGGCTGTCCCAGACCGTCCTTACTTTGGGTGATGAAGCTCACTCTGGCTCATACCACGGCTCTTGCAGCCTCTACACACACGCCTGTTTCACCCACAGACACCGCCGGCACGCACTCCCACTTCACACATGCTCAAGCACAACCCCACCAAAGCACAGCCCTGCTCAGAATGGGCAAGGACCACCACTTGGTGACCCAGGCCGCCCCTGGCTCGCCACTGCACTCGGCTCCTCTGCAGCGGTCTCGGGCACTCCCCACGACAGCACGCCGACGGCAGCTTTGACGTCCATCTGGTGAACCTGCTGTGGCCACAGCCGCCCCTCGCATGCAGCTCGCACCAGGGCTCGACACCGGGCCCGCTCATCCCGGTCGTGGCGGCGTTGAAGGATGCGCGGCCGAGCCGCTGGCTGGCGCCGCTTGAACGTCCGAGATGGCCGCAGCACAGGCCACGCGTCGCGCCGCCGGCCAAGCCCAGCCTCTCGGCGGACCCCGGCCGTGCCAGAGGCAGCCCAGGTGGCGCGTGGAGCCGCGGCTCGGCGCTGGGAGCGCGCACGGACAAATGTGACGCAGCGCGACCCTAAGGGAAATTAGGCGGTCCGCACCGACGGCAACGCAGTGAGTGGCAAGCAAACCGATTAATTTGCTGGGCGGTCTGATATTTGGTCTCGGATTTCAAGATTTGCGACCCCCGGAGAGCTAACGAAGTGGCAAAAACAGGCTCTTAGAGACCCCCGGAGAGCAGGCAAAAACAGGCTCTTAGAGGGCAGATTCGTTCGGAGAGATCTCTAGATTCCTTCCAGATAGACCTTCTAGCCATAAAAAACATCCGTCGTACTGACCGCCGACACAGTAGATCAGTCTGACTCGCGATCTGACTTTTTCCTGACTTCGACCGTCGGCATGGCATTCGACCCCGTCGCATTCAAGAAGACCAAGGGCCAGGGAGGGGCTGTTCCCGGGCATATGCACCCATGCACCCCCGGCGCAATTCTTTTATTGGCCGGCGCAATCTTTTATTGCATATTGGTATACGGACTGTTTCTTTGTTTGTCGTTTCACGTTTGTGGTCCGACTATCGCGTTCTCAGTTGTAGTCCTGTTTGATCATCTGTGCCTTCGTGCCTTCTCATTCTACATCTCTCACGGCGATGCTCCCCGCACCACCGCGCCCCTCCTCTGCTACTCGCACGCCGGTGTGGCCTCTATCGCTTACCGGCGTGGCCTCTAAGCTCTATCGCTTAGTGGTAATGACAACGTTACTTTATAGATTATAGTGCGCCACACGTATAACATGCACGTACACCATGCAACAGATCAAGCGAGCAGAGTCCAGAGAGAATCACAAAAGATGCGAGCGGTGGGGGGGGGGGGGGGGGCGGCCCCACAAAACAAGGGCCGGGGGGGCGAAAAAACACGGACGCGCTTGGCGATCCGTTCCTACTTGTCGCGCTGATTGCGCGTCCTCTTGCGGTTGCGCGTTGGCACCTTGGCCAGCTGCTTGCTCGCGGCGGCATCGATGGCCTTGGACGCACTCTCGCACACCTACCGAGCCAAAACGGCCCGATCTAAGTGTGTGTGGGGGGGAGGGGGCTCTGTCCGTCGAGAGGCACTCGCCTTTCGGCCGTGCAAGACGACCCCCTTTGGGCACTCGTCGGACAGCAGGTTCCACGGCATCAGGACCGACTCCCGGCGGTCCATGCACCACTCGAGTCCGAGCGATGCCTTCGTCCACAGCGGGTGGTCAGCGCGCGCCACGACAAAGAACCACTGTGACTGCGACGCCAACTGGGTTTCCCAGAAAACCTCCGCCAGCAGCGCGTGGCCGCGTCCCTGCTTGTCGAAGCCAGCCTTCACCGCCAGCAATGTCACCTCTGTGAAAGGGACCCAGCGCGCCCGCGCCGGAGCAGCGACGTGGCGGAAAAGTGCGGCAGCGACGCACTCGCCGTCCGGCCGGCCGATCCGGCCGATTGTGACTGAGAAGCCAATCGTGGGCACGGTCGTCCCAGCGCGAAAGCAGTGCGCCTTCTTGCCGCGCAGCATGTTCGAGGTGAGCGTCTCGACGTGTGAGAATCGCCCCGTCATGACCGACAGAACCTCCTCTCGCTGCTCCGCGCTGAGGTCCGTGACCTTGCACGTCGAGAAGTGCATGTCCTGCAACGGAGCAAAGTGAGGCCGCTGAAAGCAGGAGGCCACGCGGCGCACATCTCTGCCGGATCTCGGCTACGCAATGCCTCTGCCCCCAGGAGGGGCTGCCGCAGTGCTCCCTCAGCCGCGGCGGCCTGCTCGCCCTCTCCCTAGAGCGCACCATACCTCGTTAACGTCTCCAGCACCCAGCAGCGGCCTGCCCCTAAAAGCGGCTTCGCCACCGCCCCCTTCGCAGGGGGCGGCCTGACTTGGGTCGGGCCCATCTCGGGTAGATCTCGGATAGATGTCGAGCAGATCTCGGGTAGATCTCGGGTCTCTGCCGCCGGCACCGCCTCGTCCGGCTTGTCGACCTGCGAGATATGGGGAGAGATGGGGAGAGATGGGGAGAGATGGGGAGAGATGGGGCTGGTCGAAGTCTCTGCGTCACTATTCGTCTCTCTCTCTCTCTCTCTCTATCTCTCTCTCTCGGCTGGTTGACCTCCATGGCTTGCTCCGTCGACGCAGCCTTCGACTTTTCAAACGCAGCCTGAGGAGCCAAGCACGCGCGGGGATGGGTCGGGGGGGGGGGGGGGGGCACCAGCGGGGGAAAGGGGGGGGAGGGTGGGGAGGCAGGTCGGCAGGCAAGCAGCAGGAGGAGGGGGCCGCAGCAGGGGGCTGTCCCAGCCTTGTGCGCAGCGAGCTCCTCCGCCGCCTTCTTCTCCGCCTCCGCCTTCGCCTTCGCCTCCACCTGCGCCGCCCGCTCGGCCCTCTCCGCCGCCGCCGCCGCATCCGCCGCCGCGGCCGCCTGCGCCTTCACCGCCTCCTCCTTCGCCGCCGCCTCGGCCGCCGCCGCCGCCTCGGCCGCCGCCGCCTCGGCCGCCGCCTTCTCGGCCGCCGCCTTCTCAGCCGCCGCCTTCTCCGCCGCCGCCGCCTCGGCCGCCGCAGCCTCGGCAGCAGCAGCCGCTTCCGCCTCGGCGGCCGCCGCCGCCGCCTCAGCCGCCGCCTTCTCGGCCGCCGCCTTCTCAGCCGCCGCCTTCTCCGCCGCCGCCGCCTCGGCCGCCTCCTCGCCGCTTCGCTGGTCGCCCGCCGCTGCCTCTGCCGACGCAAAGGTAACACGGATCGCCTCCCGTGCCGCCGCCGCCTCCTTCACAGCCTCGGCCTCCTTCACAGCCTCAGCCGCGCGCGCCTCTTGCTGCTGGCGGGCGGTCTCGAGCTCGGACGCGGCCTCGCGAGTGTCGACGATCCCCTCGACTGTCCCGACGACGCTTGCGACCACGCCTGCCAGGACAGTTCCGAGAAGGTTCCGAGCGCGAGCTCCGCCCCGACGGCCCACCGCACGCAAGGAGAGAGGGAGGGAGGGAGGGAGGGAGGGAGGAGTGGATGGAGAGAGAGTGGAGGAAAGGAGAGGGGGGGCGGAGGGAGGGAGGGAGGACGAAACGGGGGAGGGAGAGGGGAGGGTTGGCGTGCCGTCTTTTGCCGCGAGTTGCAGCGCCGCAGTGACCGCCGCTGCGGGCGGCCCTCCCATGCCGGGGGCGACGGGGGCGGCGGCGGCGGCGGCGACAGGGGTGGCGCTGAACGCGCCGGCAGGCGCGGCGCTGAACGCGCTGGCGGCGGCGGTGGCGGCGCTGAAGGCGGCGGCGGCAGCAGCGATCCGGCTAGCCTCGAGGGCAGCGGCCTCCACGCCGCCCATCGGCGCGCCGGTCTGCGCTTGGCGCAGCGCCTGGGCGAGGAAGGGGTTCGGGTACCGTGGGGTAGGGGATGGGTTCGGGTACCGTGGGGTAGGGGAGGGGTTCGGGAAGGCCGCGAGCCGCGCCTGCTCGTGCGCCGGCAGCGAGTCGAAGGCCGCTCGCACGGCAGGGGCGAGGCGGAGCGACGGCGAGCCGAGCGGAGAGAAGCGAGACTCGAAGAGGTCCGAGGCGGACGCCTCGTGGAGGGCACGAGCTCCGTCACCGCCACCGCCGCTCCGCTCCTTGCCGCCCCGCTCCTTGCCGCCCCGCGAGGCCTCAGCCTTCGCCTGCCCGACCGCCCGCGCATACGCCACCGCCGCCTCCACCGCCGTGTCGAAGACGCCGATGTAGATGGTCCTGTTCCCCTCGTAGCGACGCGCTTCGAAGCGGCCAGCCTGCTGGGTGAGCTTGCGCACCCCCTTGTAGCCGGTGGCGCTGATGCTTGTGAGGTGCAGCCGCAGCCCCTCCGCCTCCGCCACCACCTCACACTCCTCCAGCAGCCCCTCCGACGGTGGTGGCCTCCGAGGCGGAGGCGGACCCAGAGCTCCAGCGGGTCGCTCCAGCGGGTCGACCCGTGGAGCGACCCGCTGGAGCGACGAGCCGCGCGCGTACACAAGGTCCACGGCGTGCGTCTCGACAATCCTGCGTGCGGAAGGGGGGGGGGGGGGGGGGGCGTGAGCTGCCGGAGCACTGGCGCAATGCCGGCGCGGGCGGCAGGCGGGAGCAGTGGGTAAGGGGTGCGCGGGGTGGTGGTGGGGTTGGCGGGAGTGGCGGTCGCGCCAGTAGCCGCAGCGCGAGTCGACAATGACGCCGACCGAGCCGAAGTGCGGCCCCTCCTTGAGCACACGCACCTCGTCTCCGATCCGCACCTGGCGCGCCGCCTCCGCCGCCGCCGCCGCTGCCGATCCCGCACCTGGCGCCGGTGCATGGAGGCATGAGACTGGGCGGTGTCGCGCCGTGCTTTCTAGGACTGCGACTACGATGCGGCTGCCTCGAGCGGGCTGGCAAGGGCCCGGGTGGCGGTACGGCCGCGTGCAGTCGAGCCGCTTTTGGCAAAAGGAGGGTCCGCTCTGCCTCGCCGGCGCGCGCGCTGCCACCGGCGCCGCCTCCTGCATGTCACGGCACCAGCGCTCGTGGGTCGACTTCGCGCCGGCGTTGACGAGCAAGCGGCCGCAGTAGACGCACTGCCAGCGGCCGTCTCCCCCGGACTGGGAGCCGCCGCCGGTAAGGGCCAGGCGGCCCAGCGGGGAGGCGGCACGCGCTTGCATCGGCGCGGTGTCGCCGCCGCTCTCCTTGGCGTCCCCCCCCTCGCCGCCGCCGTCGCCGTCAGTGGGGGTGCGTTGGCGCTTTCGAATGCTGCTCACAGAGCAGGGGGGCGGGTGGGTGGGCGGCGGGAGGAGCCGCGCCTCGCGCCCCCACAGAGGCGCCTCCACGGTGTGGCCCCTCCCCTCACGGCAGAGCGCGTCCACGTCCGAGCGCCTCCGCGGACGCGCGTCCATGACCGAGCTGCGCGGCCGCGGAAACGCCCGATTGCCGTGCGCCGCCGCGTGCTCCGGCGGCGGCGGCGTCATCATCACCGAACTCCAGCCTGGGAGAAGCGGCATCGATCCAAGGAGTGGGAGCGGCGACTGTCGGGGCAGAGGTGAAGGCGGCGGCGGAGTCGCGGCGGCTACGCGCGGCATCCTCCCGGCCTGCGGGAACCCCACTTCGCCGTCGGCACTGGCAGTGGCGTCGCTGGCGGCAGCGGCGTGCGGCTCGCGCAAGCTGATCGCGCCGCAGTCGCGCCACGCGAAGGAGCTCCCGCGGGGAGGCGGCATCGAGAGGATGGAGAGAGGCGAGGCCCCCTCTGGCCCTCCCGCCTGTCCCACCGCCTCCACCGCCGCCTGTCCCGTCGGCGCTGGGGCCACGGAGGGCAAGACGCGCGGTGGGCTGAACAGCCTCGCGCTGGGCGACCGCGTCGGCTCGCCTATATGGAGGGAAAAGTAACCGGTGACTGTTTGTAGAGATGCAGTGCCCGATCAGGCCTTGATACGCGCCCGGCGGCGCCGCCGTCGCTGCCGAGGCGGCGGCCAGCAGCGGCGTGTGCACCGCCGTCGCTGCCGAGGCGGCGGCCAGCAGCGGCGTGTGCACGGAGGGCGAGTGCGCGCTGGACACGGCCGACTCGCTCCCCCCCGCGGAGCATGTGGCGCCGCCCGCGCTGCTGCTGCTGCCGGCCGCTGCCCCCCCTGCGCCGCCCGTCGCCTCCACTGCCAGACGCTGGCAGACGCTGCTGCTGCCTCCGCTGTCCGACACAAAGCAGACGGGCACAAACGTCTGGTTTCGAATGCGGAAGAGCAGGCGCGGCGCGAGAGGTCCATATTGGGTCTGCCCCATGTTGTCCGCGATGGACGAGATGGGGTCGAGACCGTGCAGCGCGCTGGGCCCGGGGTCGTCACGCAGAATGACCAGCGCGCGCCCCTGGCAGGTGCTCGTCTGGTTCACAACTCGGTACGGCGGCACGTGGTCCTTCGGCTTGTTCCAAAACGCCTTGTCCGCACCCGGGCCGCCTCGCCTGTCGTTTTGAAAGCTGGGCGGAGCCAGGAAGACGTGCGACGACAGCACGAGCACGCCCTTCTTGATGCACTGGTCGCAGAATCGTTCCCTCATGCACCGCCGGTCTGGCCCAATCAAGGGGAGAAGCACTCTGCAGTCGCACCCCGGCATCTGCTTTCCCCAGCAAACGGCGAACCGGGGGGACTGCTCGTCGAAGGGGGGGGCGACGGCCTGCGGCGGCGGCTCGGTGGCAACGCGCTGCAGCAGCGACGGCTCGGTGGCGAAGCTGCGCAGCGGCGACGGCGGTGGTGATTAGAGGTGGGTTGTGGCAGCGGAGGGTAGAGGGGGGGTGCGGGGGGAAGGGAGAAGGCATGGAGGGGGGTAGGGAGGGGGGCGCAAGGGGCTGTGGCGTCGGTAAGGAACGGGAGTAAAGGGACATGACGGCAAAAGGGGGA